GGTTTCAGCCTTGACACTTCCCTCCTGAATCAGCTGGATGGCAAGCTTTGATGCCTTACTGAATTTCGCAGGAGTCTTTATATGTGATGCTATCTTCTGCAGCCTCTTTCACCCGTTGCTCTGAGGCATCCATCGTGGTTTTAAATATCAACCTTTTCTTTTCCGACAGAGTTTCTTTTGGGATTGATTCGACAAGCTTCAGCCGTTTGAGGGCGGATTTGAGACTTGGTTTTGGGGCAACTACAGGAGGAGCAGGAGATAGATATACGAAGAAGAGGGGATGTCAACTCTAGTGGCGTCAAAGACGGAGAAGTTGAGTCGGGTTAGGGTCTTTTTCTTGAGCTTGAATATCGCGACTGGGGAGGAGGAAAGGGATAAGAGTAGCAGGATCAATCTTATTCATCAAGTTAACGTCAGGGAAGGGCGTCGGCTCTTCAAACGAGGGCATATAAAATGGACCCTCAAATTCTAAGGCGCTAGGAGAATAAGGTTGTTGAAGGTTAAACAACAGCGTCTACTGCTGTTGCTGCTGAAACGTTGACGATGGCGTTCCCAAGGCTGGGGTCGACGATGGCAACCCGAAGGCTGTAGTTGACGAAGGCGTCTCGTATGGGGACGACGAAGATTGATCTTCGAACCTCGTATCTCGCTGTTGAATGTAGAGAGGGAGAGTGGTGTAGCTCAAGTTCTCAGTTGTTTGACGTCTTGGGGTTTTGAAGTAAAAACCTTCGAGGCAGCTGAACAGGTGTATCCTTCTATGCTCGGAACTTGAGCTTGTGCATGGCGGGGTAGGTGTTGGCAACTGAGAAAGAAGAAGCAGAGCAGGGCGGAGGAGACCTTCAGAGTTTTGGTTCTCATATTTTTTGCTTTTTGGCTTGCTGGGTTTTTGCAGATTCACGGCGGAGGTGAAAAAATGAAAGAGAACCGACACAACTTTTCGTATCGATTCCCATAGACGGCGCCAAATGTTGATACACAAAACCGGAGGTCTTGGAACAACGTAAATCCGACCGTGAATTTGCAAGAAATGTAAATAACACTAGATGTATCGTGGTTCACCCCAAGGTTTGGGCTACGTCCACACTGATTATGTATTTCTCTGTTTGTGAGGGAGAGAGATTCAGGGCCTCTAAGGGAGAAAGTGAGGTGTCTGATGGCCTAGGAATTGGCAACCCCTAATTGTGAGGGTGATGAGTCATTTTATAGAATAAGGGCTCCTCACTTATTACATATTTGCCCCTTCCTTTATTACATAATTACATTTAAGTCCCCTGAGTATTTGTACGAGATCTAAATACGGAGGCCCTAAGTATGGTATAAACATGTTCCAATGGAAAAACAACAAGTGTTAGATTAATCATGAATTAGTGAATATCATGCCCAAAGGCCACGTCCAAACAATTTGGGGAATGAATCCTTACTAATTATCAACCATGATATGTGGTTCAATAGCAAAACAACAAATGTGAAGTTAATCAATATCATGCAAGGTGAACAAACACTCAAAAGCCACGTTCAAAGTCTAAGGGATATGCATCACACCCGTTCTCACCTCATTGGAAATTTGGAATGATAGATTGAAGTATTGAAGAGAGAATATAGACAATTAACTGAAATTCCCCTAAGCTAGTGAGGAAGCACTCTAAAACAACAACAACATATTGCCACATGCATGCCAATACATACACATACCTAGTATATGGCTCTATATAGACTCACACCTCTCCAATGTTTAGGGGTGAGTAATCTCTCTACATTAACTCAACTTGCCAACTCACTCCTACTTGGTAAAAATATCAAACCAAACTCAACACTTAGCCACACGTATAAGCCAAAGGCTTCCCACCTCCACACCCTAATTATTAGCTTCTATTAATTACCAACTTCCACCTTAACCTATCTAGAGTGGTGACGACTCCTCTTTATTCTCTAATGGTTGGCAGAACTCTACTTAGCTTTGTGAGAAAACAAAGCCAAACTCATGCACTTAGACACATGCACATATGCTATATAGACTTCCACTCCACATTTAGAGTGGTGAGTAATTACCAAATCATTAACTCCTATTGTTACAAACTCTCCACCTCATCTTTGAGAGAAAATAACAAAACAAAACTACTCATTTAGTCCAACCTCAAACTCTCGGCCTTTTGTGAGGAAAATCAAACCAAACTCATTTAATCTCTCTTATCCAATTCAAACTAAAAATATCTCTAATTACATATGAAAATGAAATAGCTAGTTTTTGAAATACTTTGTAGGAAAAAGGATTTTACATTGAAACTATTTTACATACCGAAAATAGGTTCTTGCATAAAAATAAATCAAATAAAATCATTACATAAAAATAATTACCCAACATACACCCATATATATATATAACCATTTTTTTTAAATACGGGGTATTACAAAAATAAATAAATAAAACAAAAACAAGAAAAAAACCCAGAAACCCACCAACCTCCGTCTCCTTCACTCCCCCTTCGTCTTCCCCAACCGACATCCCTCCATGCCCTCCACCCCTCTATCATTGTGAAACCCTCATAACCACCACTGTGAACCCCTCACTCCACCGTGAATCTGCACAAAACCCAAGAACCAAAACCTCCATCTTTGTCTTTACCATGAAACCCTAACAACTGCATCCTCCATTTGAGAAAAAAATATAAAGGTCTTATCTTCTTCGTGGGTTTCTTCCAGGCAGTGGGTGATATGTGGCAGTTTCAGAGAAATGCCTTCGGCCAATTTTCAGTGTCAGCGTCTCTCGGGTTGAGTGGGGATGGCAGTTTGGGTCCCCCGATTCGACTAATGGTAACGACATTTTGAGTAGACGAAGGGAACCCCGTCAATCACGATAGCAGCAACCTCGACCTCGGTCAGATGACGGCGGCTCGCCTTGATTGCAAATTCGAGGCTCCATTGGACTATGTGGACCAGGAATTTAAGGAATGGACGCTCAGACGTCTCAGATTTGATGAAAAAGGTAGAGATTCAAAGATGGTTGTGAGATCCAAGATTGAGGGTTTTCGTTGGTTTTGAAGAAATTAGGGAAATCAGAAGAGTTGTTTAGGTTTTTTGCGAAATGGAGGATGCAACTGTTAGGGTTTTCTGGTAAAAGACAAAAAGGGAGGTTTTGGGTTCAAGTAAGTCGCCGTCACCACCGCCCACTCCTTCTCCATTCTCGAGACCTTGTATCCGCCATCCGTCGATTTTTTCTGTCGAGATTTGACAGACTACATTACGCCGATCCTCAATTTCCACACCAAGGGCTGTTTTGTTGTTTTGATTTGCAGAGAAGAGAGGGAGGGAGGGAATTTTAGGGGAAGGGAAGGGGCTGGGTTTTTGGGGAAGGAGAAAAGGCTTGGTGGTAGGGGTGGGTATCGGGGAAGAGGAAGGATGTCGGTAGGTGAGGGGGTGGAGGGGTGGAGGGTGGGAAGACAAATGGGATTCTGGGTTTTTTTTTCTTGTTTTTTTATTTTTTTTATTTTTTATTATATATATATATATATATATAGTTTTTTTAATTAATTATTTTAATATTTTATAATGACACGTGGCGCCCAGACATTGTCCACATGGGCGCCACGTCATCAGTTAACGGAAAACTTAACAGACAGACTAACGGATGTATGAGACTGTCCCAAAATTAACACTTTAGGTATGACTCTGAGATGAAAAAACTTCATGTACTAAATATTGAAACCACGAAACTTGAGAGTAGTAAACTGAGATTTATCCTATTTAAAAATAATTTTTTGCAAGATATAATACTGGATGAGACTACTTTTAACTCATTCGATTAGAGATACATTACTTGACATGTTAGCCAAGTCTACCCTGAACAACAAACGGGTCAACAAAATCAGAGGATATAATCGTAATAATGAAAAATGAATGATACCCCTCGGGTCCAAAGAATATAATTGAATTAGGGTTTCACCAACAGATATATATGGGGCAAATGATAAACCCCCAATTCTCCTCTCTCCTGTAAACCCTAAATCCCAATCTGAGCAGCTGAATCAAAATCTCAGAGATGGCGACGGTTCCAGGGCAACTGATATGGGAGATAGTGAAGAAGAACAACTCTTTTCTTGTGAAGGAGTTCGGGAGGAGCCACGCCGGCGTTCGGTTCACCAAGGAGCCCAACAACCTCCTCAATCTCCACTCCTACAAGCACTCTGGTACATTTCATTGCATCCCAATTCCATTTATTTTCTGTTTGGTTCCCAAGAAAATTTTGGGGTTTTTCATTTTTAATTGAGAAATGGTTTCAATTAGGGTTGGCAAACAAGAAAACCGTGACCATTCAGGGTGTGGGCAAAGATCAATCTGTGCTGCTGGCAACAAGTAAGACCAAGAAGCAGAACAAGCCTGCTGCTCTGCTGCATAAGTCTGTGATGAAGCAGGAGTTCCGCAGGATGGCGAAGGCGGTCGGTAATCAGGTAAATTGAAGTTTCAAAATTTGCCTTGCTGAGTATTTGTTTACTAAGAACTGGATTGCGAGCTTACTATGTAGTGATGAGGCTTAAAATGCTTGAAGGATCATTTCGAATGGATTTTTGGAATGAAATGATATGACTCGTTTATGGAATGAAATGATATGACTCATTACGTTTGCTTCTTAGCATGCATTGTGTTATTGATTAGATCGAATGTGTTTTGTTAAAATCTTATATACATATGTAGGAAAAAAGTCGTATTTCTTTGGGAAAAACCTAAATTGGGTCTTGTTTCAAGGATCCGAGTGATTAAATTATTAAGAAGGTACTTGTAGGTTTATGCTGCAGTGATGAGCCTTAACATGTTAGAGGGATCATTTATGGAATTGTTTCTTCAGTGAAATCCTCTTGTTATGCTTGGCTTATGAGGGTGCATTATCTTTTTAATTCGGTTGGGTTCTCTTCATTAAGCTTCGTGTATTTTCTAGGAGAAATCCGAAATGGGTTTATCTCTGGGATCTGAATGATTATTTTAGTGAGAAGATACTTGTCGGTTTTTATGCAGTGATGACTGATGAGTCTTAGCATGTAACATGGAACATTTATAATGATTTCTTCTACGAAATATTCTTGTTTCGCTCGTTTTTTGAGCATGCCTAGTTTTTTTTATCATGCATGGGTCTGTCTTTGTTAATCTTGTGTTTGAAGATTCAAGGATCATCATGTGTTGTATTGTAATGATTCGAAGAATCTTTAGTAGCCTTGTCTGGATGTCTCTTTTGTTATTCGTCTCTGTTTTTCATTTTGTGCTCCTCGTCGTTGCAGGTGGCGGATAACCATTACAGGCCGGATCTGAAAAAAGCAGCCCTTGCAAGGTTGAGTGCTGTTCACAAGAGCCTCAAGATTGCCAAGTCTGGTGTCAAGAAGAGGAACAGGCAAGCTGTTAGAGTCTATGGCAGGAAATGAGTAATGGGGGGGGGGGGTTACTTTTCATGATTTTGGATTGCTCGGGTCGTCTTTCGAAGCTCAGTTGTATTTGGATTTTGTGATTATATTCAGTTTGTTTTGCATAATTTTCGTGGATATCAAAATTATGAGTTTGCTGGATAATTTTTTTTCAACTAAATGGAAAGGGATTACAAGATTAATTTTCATATTTTGCAAGCACCGCTATATTATGCATAAACACAACTAGTTTTTTTCTGGAAAAATTGTATCCAATCAAATGAATATATAGATAAACATAAAGTGATCTGTGATAATATGACATTACAATGAACTGCGTCGTTGACGAAATTATTTGAATAATTTCTTGAATTTCTAAACGAACGGATGAAGGCGGAACCAAGTATCACGAACATCAGCTGTACATATTATAAGTTGGCTTGGCTTGCTAAAGGTTCCAATGCACAAACCGCATGTTCTGCAAATCTTTGCGGAACTTCCCACCACCATCAAGAACATACTCGTCCTCGACGACAAATCAGGATGAGCAGCAGGTGGTCTTTTGGGTGACCGGCTGTCCACGCATGTGCACGGTGGATGGTTTGTTGGCACTCATTGGTTGCGTAGCTATCCTGCAAGCCGAAAGGAAAAGGAAATGTTACGGATACTGAATTAAAATGCAGATGTTTCGCTACCAGTCGGAAGTTCTCAGGTTTAATGTATATGAAAAGGTAACATAGAGATGAACTCACCTGTTCTTTATCTCTGCAACCATAGTCATGAATGCCTGCTCTACGTTGGTCGAATTTTTGGCGCTCGTTTCCAAGAATGGAATACCTAGCTCATCGGCAAATGCCTTTAAAACCAGGGGGCGGAGGAGAGAAGAATTTCAACAACAGAGAGTTAGAAGAGAATTGAAGTTGATCAGCGATGCACCGATGCATGCTTATATAACTCACGACGACATGACATCAATGGAAGATTAATTAGTAACTCAAATAACCTTGCTAGCTTCAGAAGAGACCACTTTCTTGTCAGCCAAGTCACTTTTGTTTCCAACCAAGAGCTTGTTCACATTTCCAACTGCAAATTTATTAATTTCTTGCAGCCAGGTCTTGACGTTGTTGAAGCTTTCTTGGTCCGTGACATCATAGACAAGCTAGCAACAGGAGAATCCTATGAAAAGATTGCAGAACCAAAAATCTACTTTACGGGATAGAAAGAGGTGAATCAACGCTTACAATAATGCCATGGGCACCACGGTAGTAGCTACTTGTAATTGTTCTGAAACGTTCTTGACCAGCAGTGTCCCACTACGCAGAAGAAATGGAGATTTCATATTTTCCGGTAATGAACTTTTGATTTCAATCCAATCCGGCGTTAATGATAAATATACTTACGATTTGAAGTTTGACAACCTTCCCGTCCTGCTCCACCGTTCGAATTTTCTAAACAGAGGAAATAAAGAGATGAAATCACTGCCATGACATCAAAATAACCAGACATCAGAAATGTTATATTATGTGACTTTACTTACAAAGTCAACACCAATGGTACTTATGTAGCTGTCAATGTAAGAATCATCCTACACAAGTGAGAGTAGAATCGTCAATAAATCTTCAACGAAGCTCACACCCGATTTAGATTGCATTATGCAGAAGCAGAAAAAGGCTTTCTTGTGGTCATCAGAAAGTTGTAACAGAAGGCCGAAAGGGTCAGACATCCCGACTTTAACAATATGGCTAAGGTGTAAACATGAAGTCTATAGCTCAAGAAACTTAGATGACTAGCGTACGTGTCACGTGTAACACATTATGATTAAACTTTGGGAACAAATGCAGCACATGATAAGTGAGGTGGTACCGGTGCACCTTGGCTAATGGTGGCGAGCGAAATAGCAAACAGAATACATATATAAAGAGAAGAATTTTATACGCATGTGTGGTAGAAGGGTGGCAAATATATCTTAAGGAAAACACCACCCTAAGTACAACGTTGTTAAACTTTTACCGCAAATCTCAGTAGAAGGCATGACTTGCCAACGCCGGAATCTCCAATGAGCAAAAGTTTGAAAAGATAGTCACTGCAAAATGGGGGAAGATAACTAATTAGAGCCTCGAACTTTTTGCTTCAGCAATTAAGCAAATAACTAAAAAAAAAAAAATCAAAAAATCATCAAATCCTAATAGCAAAAACCTAGTTTGTCACAAATAATGCCACCCTGCATATCTGATTCATATTTCTTCAGCGCCTTTCGTTCAAACAAAACTATTTATACGCGTCGCAACCAGCAGATATGAATTCCATTGCAGCATATATCATCCAAAACTAAGTAATACACCAATCCACAACAGAAAGAAACATGATTTCATAAGATCATTAGCAAGTCCTTGGATCTAATATCAAAAGACTAAAAAAGAGGATCCCCAAAAGTTGGAACAGATAATTTCCAACCAAAATGGCAAATCGAGAGCCAACCCACATACCCAAAAGTTAAGAACAAAATAACCCATCATTGATAAACAAAAATAATTAATTTTTTTTCTTCTGGGTTTGACCAAAATCCAAATCCAATCGAATGAACAGGGTTAACATTTACCAGATATCAATCACACAGAAGAATTTTGAGCTATAACAAAAACGTGATAACATGTAGACATGCATGCAATTGGTAATGAGAGAGAGAGAGAGAGAGAGAGAGAGAGAGAGAGAGATTACGTACTATTCAGGAATCATGACTGGGTTGATCGACGAGGAAGATTGAGAAATGAAGCGTAGAAATATTCAACTGGGTCTAAACTTACGTAATTGGGAATGTTAAGGGAGGGAGGGAGAAAAGGAGAAGGAGAAGGAGAAGGAGAAGACTTTGCTGTGTGTTTATAAATATATGGGTGGACGGTGCGTCACATTGAAAGGTTCGTACTGCTTCCTACTCAGCCGCCAGCTTGGAATCTGACCCCACATACAATTTCCTTTTTTTTTGTTTTTGTTTGTGTGTCGGAATTTGAGACTACCATACATAGCAAAGGTATGCCTCCACGGTGATATCCCGCACCGATGATATGACGCTAAGTAGAGGGAAACTTGCACGTGTTGTTGTACCATCACCACAACCAAATTTTCGTTGCACCTATAATATGGCCACATGGTATTACTGTTAAACTTAAAATATAACATGTTGATACGTTTTTTTTATTAATGTAGCAATTAAATCGTTCAATTTTATTATAACATTTGAAATAGTACAATCACATTCTTAAAGATACATGCGAATCTAGGTATAAAAGATGCAGGAGCACGTAAAGCTCTCAGAACGTATGCAGGAAAACCTTATTTCTTTCTTTATTATTCATTTTTTTGGGTGAAACGATCTAGACAAACTTGGTGAGCAAGTATTGTACGACTTATTCATTTCAAAAAACTGCTGAAATCCAATCGTGCAGAGAAACAATAACACGTTCTCTATCCAATACACACTTCTGTAAAAACTCAAACTCAAAATCATATTTTATGGTCAGTGGTTTAGTTGGGTAATAATATATTAACTAATGAATCTTTTAAACACGTGCAATTTACCTACCTCGTCTCACATGAAGCACAAGTTGTGCATGGGAAGTTTAAGCCAACATATTCATCTTTTAACCATTTCTTTCCTTCTTTTAAAAAGGGGATAGATGGTGTGCACGTCAGTTCATTATTTCGGAAGTCGGGAAGGTTTACAGATGTATTTCAATTTCTTCCTGGTCACAATCGTTATGTTCCTGGCTGCCAGCGTGTGATTCACTATTGCTAGGAGTCGAATTCAGGATGTGCCTTGTGGAATATGGACCTAGATCCCTTTGTGGTTCCGCTTCTTTTAACCATTTAACTTTATTTGACTATTATCAAATGGAATATTGAAAAGGTCGTAGTCAATGAAGTACCCACACGGATTAAAGAGAATACAAATGTTGATTACTTGCCTTAATACAATTCTCTAACCCCTATAATTGCAACATTTTCAACCACTCATTTCTCAGCCAACAAAACCCGGACGCCATGTCTGTCAAGAAGAGTCTCTCTCTCAACCACGGCGGAGCCGGGAAGGAGGGAGCAGTTACAAAGAAGACAAGGAAGACTTTGTCTCTAAACAATGGTGAAGCCGGGAAGAGCAGCGGAGATGTGGTTGCAGCAAAGCGGACACGCTTCGATCGTTGTTTTTCTTTCATGGAGGTTTCTACAGAACCGGGAAAATCACTTAAAGAAATGGATTCCGAGAAGTTGAAGTCAGGGATCAAGAGGTGGGCTAAGGCTGTTGTTGCATACGCCCGGCAAGTGAGCGACCGCTTCGGAAGCTCTCGCAGCGGAAGCTCTCGTGGCGAATCAAAAGCCTAATTGAATTGTCTGAAGTATATTACTCTGTTTCAAGCGAGTTCAATCGATGCTTTACATCATTGTACATAGGAGTTTCAGAAAAAGGATAGGACCGATCGATGCACGACATGAACTTGTATGTAAGTACTTGAATTTTCACTCAAAATAATAACAAAATTGCTTCACATTTCTGCTATATCTGTTAATGTGAATTTAAGCAATCCAGGGAAAAGAAATACTAGCCAATACTATACATCTACCTACAAAACAATTTCAGTCCACCACCATGAGAACAAACAAATACTAAAACCGAAATTTCGGTGCCATTTCGGCATCAACTCTGTTAAAGCTCAAGTCTTTAACCGCATTCTGGAAACAATTCCGTCTTACTTTCTAGCTAATGAGAATAAGGCATCTACAAAACCCTTGACTCTCTAACCTCATTGTGACTTCTTAACATCACCAAATGTCGTCCTTGCTCCAGATATACTCTTCAAGAGCTGTTTAGAGCACATGTTCTCAGCATTTGTTGCGTTTTTCACACGGTTGGCTTCTACCCAAGCGGGTTCCTGCAAGAAAAAACAGTTTAATGTTTATTTGATGATTTGACCTTCCTTAATAACCATTAGTAAGTATAGTTACAAGGAAATATGCAACTGTGTTAAGAAAGGTGAGAAGGAAATCACCTCGGGAACAAAGCGGGAGAAACCAAATTTGATCAACAAGAGGACATGTTCCATAACCAATATTGCAGCCAGGCCAGGCTCTATCTTCCATTTGCCCTCTTCATCATATAACCATACCAGCAGTGCACAGTTGGTGCATATAGACATAACTATGAGAAACTACAAATTGCTGACAACCACACATTAGAATGATGACGATAAACGAGCAAATAGAAAAACCAGTAAGAATGTCTTCTACCATCCAATTCTCCAGCAAGTGTTTATAATTACAGCTAATCAGAAAGAAAATCTAATACAGATCCCAACAAACATTTCTCTCTACCTATCAATGAAGACTCAATAATACGAAATTTGTATTTCCTTCACAGGACAGAATATATAGATAAACACGAACCATAAGTACCTGAAATATGTTCAGCCAAGCTCCAATTGTTGTGGAAAATCGAGGAGTTGGTCTTCTCAACATGGCAAGAAGCTTCAACGCATCAGCCCTAATTTCAGTGATATTGTTCTGTGAAAAATGAACAACCACAACAATTAACATTAATTAACAAAATACTACTACTAGCAATATAAAACTTAAACGAATGAACAACCACAAAGCAAAATATACCAAAGTTGCGAAAGCAAAAGCAAGGGGGAATGCACAAGCAAACATCATGATCATTCCAAACTGCAATGCCACCTCCAGAAAGTCTGCAGGTCCAATCACAGTTTAAATCAGCAGGAAATATAAAAATATAATGTATTCTCATGACTACAAAACAATGAGGAAAATCAAATTATAAAGACACCAGAAAAAAGAATAAAATTGGATACACTTGATATCTTACCATCAAACAGCCCGTCTTCAAGTTCCATACCAATGCTTGCAGAATAAGAAGGCTTCAGGTACTCCTTTTCTACCCTGTAAGCAAACTGGATCTTCCCTATTGATGAACCCCTTTCACGTTTTTTCTTGCTTCTTTACACCAGAATGGCAGAACAGGTTAGGTTCATGTAAACTTAAAACTCCGAACACATAAGGGTCCAAAAGATAATACAAAGTATAGACTTACCGAACTCTATATTTCTTATAACTGTACTTCAAATATGGCAAAATGTTCTCCAACAAGTTTTCCAACACCTGCAAAACATTGTCCAATACGAGAAATGAGAAAAGTAGGAAAAAGAAATGAATGAAACATGACATATTTTACCTGAGACACAAGGAGGCGTTGAATCAAAACTTTGCGGAGAGTAGAAAAGTTGCGGTGCAAAAGGGCATGGTAGAAAACTCCTATATACGACTGCATGAAATAAAGACCAAACACCTGCCAAATACAAAAAAGTCCTTGAAGTGTAAAAACTCCTACACAAGAGAGCAAAACAGTAGCGGGGGTGGATCAGTCTCCCCTTAACCCACCTTGTAGACCAAGCTGTCAGCTCTTTTTTCTGTGTTTTCATTATTTTCATATTTAATGAGCTTAACGGAGATCTTGCCACCAATCTGTGTCAAGAACTGAATGGCAAAAAGATAAATGGTAGTCAACCCAACCCTGAAAAGAAAAATATTGCGATAAGTGTCATCTTCATTCAGTAATTATAACATGAAAGTCTATGCAATTATACGAATGCAAGAGGACTCAGCATCTTACTTCATAATATCAGATTCAATAACCTCATAAATATGAGCATATGCCAGTTCAAATGGTAACTGAAGGCATATAATACTGAAGATAATGAAAGCATCATTTCGGAATCTCATGAGTCGTCCAAACCACTCAATTCTTTGGAACATTTCTTTTTCTTTTGTTTTGTCGGTCCCCCATTTTTTTGCGAGCTCAACAGATGGTGAGGAACTCCACCCCACACCTTGTCTATACCCCAAGTCAGTTCTAACTGGATAACTAATCTGCCATCTAAACCCACAATCCAGAAAGAGGAGGTAAAGTAAGAAAAAAAGAATAAAAGAAGAGTGAAAATGAATAAGAATAGATCTAAGCCACAAGACAATTTCTTGTAAACTAAGTTACCTGGCTAAGAGGGCACTATTTTTACGTTTCCAAAACTGTGAAAACATTATAGCCCATAATATTATGCATACGAAGAAAATGGGAAGCACTAGTAACTGCAATGACCTGCGGAAACATTATGCAAGCACACAGCAGTTTCAATAAGCAAGTTGCACAAATAAAATAAAGTTGACAGCCATCAGGGAAACTGAAAAATGATGTAGCTGACCCACCCAAAATCAAACATGTGCATGATAAGCCCAAATGCAGCTGGAAAAAGCAACCACCTTGTATACATTCCAAGGAAAGCAAAATAGATGGCGATCTACAAGGACAGTAAATTCTTGTTTAATATGTTGGGCAAAATATGGAAAAAGATAATTTTGCTAATGCAACCAGTTCACCTTTGCACCAAAGTATGCATAAATCTCATCTATTGGCTGGTTTGTGAAGTCCCACCAGTGTAGTGCCCACGTGTGAAGGAGCTTCTTCCTTTTTATTTCATCTATCGATAAAAAACCATTTTAATATAATGTTTAACAGATATACAAACTGTTTGAAAACTTGTCAGCATACCATGCAAAGGAAACACTTCTTTGACAATCCTCTCTGACTCCAACTTCTGAAGTAAATACTCCCCGACTTCCCAACAAAATTCTTTATCATCAAATCTTAAAGTTACACTTGACCGGCTCTTGTTAATCTGTAAATTTAAAGTTCAATCCTTGTCAAAGACACAAATTTATGGCTAATTTTGCACACATAAATATAGTTAAATTAGACTTATTCACAGGGTTTCAGTTGCTCTCACAACAAAATTAATCAATTGGAATATCAGAGGCCAACTGGTAGTATCTATTCAACCAAAGAGTATTAATAAAGAATAAGATAAACATGAAGTTGTAAAGTAAAACCGAAGTGGAAGTAGAGAAACAAAACATCAGAAAGAAAAAATTGCCATTGGAACATTATTGTTTTATTATATGCCATATACTTACAATTCCATATATTAAGTGCCTATAGCAGCGAAAACGCTCACACCAACTGAAGACCGAACCATCAGGCTGCCTCACAAAAGCATCAACCTCCTCCCATTCAAATTGTAAATCCATCCCTGAAACCAAGTCCAGCATATTAAATCTTCAAGTAAAAGAAATCATATCCCGGATGTCATACTTAATAGATAAGAAGCTTTGAATTTTGAAAGCCAACTTGAACAGAACTGGATCATTACCGATAGCAGTCCGCTTTTTAATCTGCAACTCAGCTGCAGCCCTCCCCAGCGTCTCCAAAGGTGCTGCCAGCTGAAACAAAGAAGGCTAAGCTCTAGAAAGCCAAACTCAAGAAAGAGTATAAACAAAACACAGCCCAATTGTATGTACCATTTTCATTCAGCAAACAACCAAACGAGACACGAATAATGCTGGGTTATCATAAACTGGCAAGAAAAGTTCTGATTTACAATTCAGAATCTAAAAAATTATCAGCAAAAGGAACCCTCTTTTTTTTCACGGTCAGATTAGCAAAAGGCCCCGAAATTTATTCCTTTTTAAGAAATATGATTCTTTCAGTAATAAAGTAACTAACTTTCCTTTCCTATTAAGCAATATCATAAAACTATTTACAGAATCTGCTGTCGAGAGCCAATTGCATACAAGTCAATTCCTAAAAACCCAAATAAAAATCATTGTCGGAGTATATAAGAACAAAGGAATATCGCTCTCATTTGCACCAAAGTTCGAATTTAACAGAGATTAATTAGAATATCGCTCCAACAAAAATGATAACAAATTGAAAGAAAACAAGCAAATGTAGAAAAAGCAGACCTTGATGAACTCATCCACAACGCCGTGCACTCTCTCAACAACCAAACCCAAATTCCTGAACTCCTCCACCAAAACCTCCACACAATCAGAAGTTTTATCTTCCTCTTTCACATTTCGCTTCGGAACCACCACCCCAATCTCGAAAACAGTTTGTTCCTCCTCGAAGACGTTCATCTCCTGCCCACCACCAAACAACTTCACCATCTCAGAGAAAAGCCAAATGGGTCTCAAATTTCAAGATCAAAACAGTGCCCAAATCACCAAAAGACGCGAACTTTGCAGAAACCGGCTTAAATGGCGAAGTGGACAATTGCATTTGGAAAAAGTTCGAGCTATTCGGATCCCAAAGACACAAATTTTCTGACGAAACGGGTCGAATTGCGAAACGGGTCGTTAGTTTTAGGCAAATGTCGGGTTCTGTGTGCTCAGATCAAACATAAAAGTTCAAATGGGAGTCCAATTGGATTGGAATGCTGCAATGTGGGTTTCCAGAGAGAGAGAGAGAGTGAGAGAGAGAGAGAGGGGAATGGAGGACTACAGGTGGCTGAGCAGTTGGGCATTCGGGGCGAGGAGTTGGGGAGGGAGAGACACATAGGATGGTGAGGAAGGGGGAGGACACGTGGGTTCTGACATTTGGCGGTTTCTTTTGTTTTTGCGCTTTCCAGATTGGAATGGAAATTGGGAAAGGAAAGACAAACGGTCCGACTTCCCATGTATAACCTCGGGTCTTTGCCCTTTGACTAACTATTTTGCGAATATTTAATTTTATTTATTTTTAGTTTTAAATAATATCACGCAAATCGTTTCTCCGGTCTTTACCCTTTGACTAACTATTTTAGGAATAGTTAATTTAATTTATTTTTAATTTTAAAAAATATCACGTAAATTGTTTAACGTGATTAACGTGTTTATTTTATATTGTTGATACGTTATATAATTTATAAATTTAATTTAAAAAATTAATATGTTTAACATTATTCTCAAATGTCAAAAGCCTAACATTATTCTTTAATTTTTAAACATTTCAAATTTCAAATTTTAAATTTCAAGTTTCAAACTTTAGTATGCACAATACATAACAGTTTCAAACTTCAGTATGCTTACTAAAGTCCGTGAACTTTAGCTAATAGGAAGTACATAAGATGTTTTTAATTTTTGGGTGTCGATCCAATACTTCGTGAATTTAAATGCATCGTTAAAGAGTTAAAATGAAAGTGATAAAGAAAGGTACGCTAAGGAGATTTTGACCTGGTTTGGGAGTGAGGTGCTTAAAAAAAAAACACCCATGAAAAAAAGCTGTAAGGGTTTTAAGTGTTTGGTAAACTGATAAAAAAGGGCTTATTTTGGAAGCTGCTGTGAAAATAAGCTGAAATCAAAGGAAAAAGCTGAAGCTGCTATTTGCAGCTTTGGAAAACTGGTTTTTTTTCAAAGCACACGGAGCTACAGTGCTCTTTTAATGAAAAAACCCACCTTTAATTTGCAAATTTTATCTACAAATTTAGTTTATCTAGCATTACTCTATTATTCTTCCCTTTATTTCTAACAAAAAGGATGGCAATCTAGTATCATAAGAAAACATGACAATCTAGAGTTCCACATTTGTCCTCTAAATTTTTTATTTGTTCGAGCAATCTTGACACTCTTGAGCTTTCAAAATGTTCTAATCTTCACTTATATGATACAAATACATGATAAGTGTAGCACTGCCCTATCACTTATTCAATTATATTTTTTCGAAAATAGTCGAATGTTACAATGTCGAGAGCCATTTTTGGGGTAGTATAATCACATATTGCATTGTTTCTCTCCATACATATTGGTGCGAGATAAATGCTAAAAAGACTCTTAAAGTTAGATTCTCTATAGAACTTCTATAACATCACAATTTATCACAATTTCAGTGTAAACATTATAAAGTATTGTGCAAAAAAATATGAGGTGACAAAGAATCTATAAAGAGCGTTACTTTTGAGACAGTCTCCTTAACATTTTTCTTGTTGCATTGGACAAATACATAAGGTGAGTACTCAATAGTGAGTATCCAAGTTGATAAAATTAGTAATATGTCTATTATTTTTTAAAATAATAAAACATGTGTCATCTTGAGTATCTGAACACTTATTTTTAACACTCGCATTTTTATTAATTTTCTTTAATTCATTTGATCTAACAATTGAAATTGAGAGAGATGTGAAAAGTAAAAAAATGAGTGTGAAAAGAATCATATGAAAATCAAACTAATATAAATAATATTTGAGCAAAAAAATAAACTTACAGGAACTTATTTGGACGGCCTTGGAACTAGAAATCTTCAAGTTGGTAAGTAATCTAACCTAAAAAATGAGGGTGCATCAATGTGGTGTATGCTAAACTCTTTCGACGATCAAATCAGTGATTGGAATTGAACTAAATCGTTCCTTGGATAGTTCGTCTGATTGCCTCCTCCTCCGTTGAATGAAGCTGGGTTCCCCGTTCTGCAAATCAAGTTGCTCACATGGCAGCTACTTTGACCGATTCGAGGGTGTGCAATCTCTCTTGGGCAGCTACGCCTCCTCCGTCACTGGTCTTGGTTCTCTCTCGCGACGAGCTCCCATGCCCCCTGTAGGCTTTACTTTGGCGGAGGTCTGACAGCTAAGTTGTATCAGCCTCCCCTTGGTTTGGTCACCACTAGGGTGCTGGAAGTGTGTGTTTGTTTTTAGGTAGGGTTTCATGTCTCCTAGTTTGTATCGGCATCACTGTTCTTTGTAGTTGGCGCGTTCACTTGGGTTTTTCCGGACCTTCTTGTCTTTGTTGTGCCTGTTTTCGGCTTGAAGATCCTTCTGGTCGACTAATGATTGTAAACTCCTTGTTACTAATCGCTCACGAGAGAAGGAAATGAACCATACTTTTTTTTTATACAATGGTATATTATATGCAATCGAACTCGTTATCAAATTTGTTTTATCAAGAAAGAAATACATTAAAGACGAAAATCTCTAGTACAACCATTGGTCATACAATCAAATCTAAAAGCTTCCATAGCAGATTTAGGAAGGCGATAGTCCCAAAATCAAGGGTTAACTAAAGAAAGACACACATAGGTCAAAGCGTCAACAACAAAATTCGCCATTGTAAAGATATGGTTCAAACTAATGGTTTGAAAATTTGAGGCAAAACCCTTGATATCACTAACAATTTGGTTAAGATGCCAAGAAGGCTTCCACTCACCTGGAGCCAGCTGGATCACTAGCCTGGAGTTGCCTTCCACCATTAAATTTTGAATACCCTTTCTGCTAGCAAGCATCAATCCTTCCACTTAGGCAGTAGCTTTCGCAACAAAGATAGTGACACCATCCAAGTTTAACTTCCCCGCTCCAATTTTCTCAAAACAAAAAATCCTTGATTTGCGCTCGAAGTCATTATCAGTGAAGCTCAAACATAAAACCTATTACTCATAAGTTACGAAAAATATCACTAAATTGTGATATGTTACCATAAATTTCAAATTTTGTGAATACATAATTCCAAGCGAAGCCCAAAATATCGCACATAAGGGCCCAAAAAAGCAAGCTAGGAAACGTCGGCCTCGCCCTCTATTGACTTCTCCGAGACACGGAAGCGAAACGCGTGTATCGAAGTCCAAAAACGCACAAAAGCTCGGATCTTTCTTCCTCCGATCAGAAAACCAAAACCCTAGAAAATCAAATTCACCCCCCCCCCAAAAAAAAATCCCCAAATTCCGCCATGGGAAACACCGAGAAGCTGATGAACCAGATCATGGAGCTCAAATTCACCTCCAAGTCGCTCCAGCGCCAGTCCAGGAAGTGCGAGAAGGAGGAGAAAGCCGAGAAGCTCAAGATCAAGAAGGCAATGGAGAAGGGAAACGTCGACGGCGCCCGGATCTACGCCGAGAACGCGATCCGGAAGCGCACTGAGCAGATGAACTACCTCCGCCTCGCCTCGCGGCTCGACGCCGTGGTGGCGCGGCTTGACACCCAGGCCAAGATGTTCACCATCAACAAGTCAATGGGCAATATCGTCAAATCGCTCGAGTCGTCGCTGGCCACTGGAAACCTCCAGAAGATGTCGGAGACCATGGACTCGTTCGAGAAGCAGTTTGTGAACATGGAGGTCCAGGCCGAGTTCATGGAGACCGCCATGGCTGGCTCCACCTCGCTTTCGACACCGGAAGGTGAGGTCAATAGCTTGATGCAACAGGTTGCGGATGACTATGGGCTTGAGGTGTCTGTCGGCCTGCCTCAGGCAGCTGCACATGCCGTGCCTGCCAAGGAAACCGAGAAGGTCGATGAGGACGACCTCTCCAGGAGGCTTGCGGAGCTCAAGGCTAGAGGTTAAATTAGGAAAGCGGTCAGCTTGCATTGGGAATTCGATATATATGATATGCTATGTGTTTGTAGTGATTGCCAATTATGAGTTATGACTCATGTTGGAACAATTTATAACTTGATATTTGTGTATATTTGACAAATTTGAATTCGCTATGATATATGACTACGTGGGCTTTCGTTGCATTCGAGTCACATTGTTTGCATTTATTTTGTTTTGTATGTATAATAGATATATGCATGTGTGCCTGTCGTTATTGGGGAAAGGGCTTGTAACTTTTCTTGATTGAGTGGATTTGACCGATTGGGACTCGTTGGATATTGCTGCTTTTGCTGTTTCGCTCTGAGATGAACACCACTTGGTTGTGAGTGCTATTTGGAATGTGATATATGAATACATTTGTGTATGGACATAACTATTTCGACATAGGATTAGTGATTGTTGTACATGGGCGCCAGTGTTTTTAGGTCTAAGGTGCATAGTGATTTCTGTTGATTGGAATTAGGATTAATGTTTCTGTGAAGTGTAGGTATGTTAGTTGGCTGAATTTTCTTTTAATGTTCTTATGCGCGCTTCACGCTTTTTGAGCAAGGATGTGATTTGATGTCTGTGTGCTCTATTTGTGAGTGGGGTTTTTGCATCTGATCTTGAACTTTGAATGGCTTGATTAGGGCTTGTAAAAAGCTTCTGTGTAATTGTGCGTTACGGTCAGAGAAATTTCTCTTGTTTCATATATGTATTTGATGCCTTGAAAATTTTCTTTCCTTTTATTTTGAAGCCACCTATCTTACTTTATGGCATGCATATAGGTGCAACATGTGCTGTTAAGTTTCAAGACAATGTTGGTGAATTGTATGGTAATTAATAATGTTTCAAAACAGTGTTTTCATACAACTCTGTGCCTCTTGTCATTGGACGCTGATGTCTTGCAATAATTTTTCTGAGTGCACCTTTTTTTGTTTTGTGTATGTGCATGAAACTGTTGTATGGTGTGCTGCTAATTGCAGACAACGTGTCTCTTTGATAATTGCTTCATTTTCAAGCATTTGGTACTTATTTTTTTGGGTAGAAAACATGGGAGTTATGCTATTCAAGTTCTTATTAGCAGTACTGTTGCTGATCTTATGTACCATTTTGAGAATGGTTAAGCAATTTTTCACGTTGATGCCAACATGCTGTTAGAATAAGTAATAGTCATGGCTATATAATTGGTTTGTTGTCGGATCAGTGTTTTACAACGATAACTTGAAATGAGATCCGGATGTTCTCATCTAGTGTACTGAATGGCTAATTCTGTTTTTGTTTTATTGCTTCACATTGCTTCACATAGTCTGTGGTTTATGATTAAAAGATGTTATGAATGCTTGCGTTCCAGTAAAGAAAAGCAATTTTCAGCAATCTGTGTGTTTTATTTAGGTCCATTTTCTAAACCGGAGTCAGTCATAAACTTCTTGTAATCTTTATGTAGTTGATAAAGAATGTGAGTCATATGATTTCTTTGATCACGGTTTACAGCTAAATATCTGATGGATTTTTAAACCTCACTTGTTAGAATAATATTTGCTCGGCAGCCAACATGCGACACATATTGTATGAACATGGCATTTTAGTACTTGCAGAAGTTATTTAAATAAATCACAAGAATATAGTGATTTCTTGCGTTTATTTTCTGTGATTGCGGTGGTTCATGTGCTGTCGGGGTTTATGGAATTTGGAATATCGTTACCTTGTTAAATGTTATTGTTAGAACACTACTTGCTATGATGATCATGAATTGAATTGAATGAAGTTTTGTAAAGGCTGATAGGACTTGGGTCTGTTTAGTAGTGCATCTAACTAAAAGTGTTTGTAACAATGTTTGGTCGAGAAAGTTAAAACGCTTGCTTTACAGATGCACTTCAAGTTCTTTTCAGAAAGCACTTGGATTGGATACAACACAACACAACAAAGCCTTTTCCCACTAGGTGGGGTCGGTTGTGGGGGGATGCAACACGAGGACTTCTCAGACGGTCACCCATTCTAGTACCTACTCTCGTCCAAACTCGCTTAACTTCGGAGTTTAGATGGGATCCGGTACATGTGAGTTGGTATGATCGTATGTAAGGAAAGCACTTGGATTGAATACTCACAAAAAATTTCCAGTATGTTTTTTATTCTAGTAAAAGCGCTTGAGATCAGAAGTGTATTTTGGGAAACGTTTTCAAGGGAGACCTTAAAAGTGAAGCATGTTTTCATATCGTTGTACAGAAAACACGGTACAGGTTATTTGGATAGCATAAGTATACATCAAAACAAACACAAGCAGAAACACACTAGCTTATACATTCAAAATCCTTTAGCTATGAACTATATATATATCTCAACTTGAAGCAGTCTAGTCGTTGCAGTTTATCTGGGCTCCGCAGGTAACCGAGCACCCGAGCCTTCTGAAACTCTTCTGAACTCTGTCAGAGAGTCTTGCTGGGGCAGGGGATACATGAAACCCAATGGCATCTATGTATAAACCATCTCTTCCCTTCAAGCCAACAATTTTGCCTCCATCCAGAGTGTAAGTAAACGGTGTGCCTTGATCCCTTCCAAATGGTCCGAATGTTCTTCGATTGCTCTGAAATTTAAGCGAACGGATGATAGGGGAATAGATGCCGGCATCCACCATCGTACAATAGTGCCCGGTCACACTGACTATGTACTCATCGGGGTACAGCAGCTTTATCTGCAAGGCATGAAAAAGATAAGGTATGAATGAGGTCTTAAGTTCGAATCTCCAAGACAATAGTTGTTGAAATAATATGAAAACTATGAGCTACGAAGCAGACCTCCGCGGTTTGAGTGCCTCCGTGACCTCCATGCATTTCAGCTTTGAAGGGCTTGCCATTTTTATCATACACCACGGTGATGGAGTCGATGCATTCGCCATAAACAAGCGTGATTTCTCTCACGCCATTGTAGATGCCGTCGTCCCAAGGAGTTCCACCATTTCCTCCCCATGGTCCTACTTCCATGATCTTCCTCTTCCCGCCTGCTTGCTCCTTGCCATCTTCCTACATAAAAAGTTAAAAACCAGTTTCCTTGTTTAAACGTACCTAAATGCTATTTTCTTGTTCAAAGCTTGTGTTGATACACAGTTTTAATAGGTAAATAGAATTGACGATTAAGTGCACAACAACTGAGTAATGGTGGATACAACGTTCCTTTCAACTCATTGTCTCTCGGGTTCAAACTTTTCCCTATTCTGTTGACGTAGATTAGACTAGTAATATCACTTCTAATAAATAAATTAAAAAAAAACAGGAGTAAGGTATGATTTGGGATTGAGGTGATTATAAAAAAAGTTGGTACGAAAAAAAATTAGGAGTTTTTGGTGTTGGGTAAACACTCCAAATCAAATTTTTTTTTTCAAAATTTCGGATGAAAAAAAAGCTAAAAGGTGGAAGAGGCAGCTTAAAAAAAAAAGAACTTATTTTGGAAGCTACCCCAATATTGCCCTCCTTTCTCCTTTCTCATGGCAGCTCCGCGCTGAGCCACCACATCGTCTCGCTGACTTCCTCCATCTACAGCCTCCTCACTCTCAACCCTCCGCCACCTGCGCCCACCACCCCGTCGACACCCCTTTCTCGATTCACTTCCAGGTCCATTTTCCCGAGTCCCTTGTCCCAGCCCAAGTCGAGTTCGAACCCAAGTCGCTATTGGCCGACCCGAGACCGATGTGAGGAATGCGGCGGACTTTTGAGGAGTGCAACGCCGTCCGGGTAGAGATAGAAGGCCTCGGGGTGATGATTGTCGAGCGTGACATGTCAATGGATCACGGGTTCGGAGAAGAGTTGAGCGACTTGATGAAAGGGAAAGGGAAGGAGGCAGCGGTGCCGTCGCGGGTGTTTGTGAAGAGGAGATATATAGGCAGCTCTGAGGAAGTGCTGAAGATTTTGGAGGGGGGTTTGCTGGGTGAGATTCTTGTTAGGTGTCCAAAGAAAAACGCTGGGTCTGTGTGTGAAGGGTGTGGGGAGGCAAGGTTATTACCAAACGCTATCATAGTGTTTTTTTTTAGAAAAGCATTTTTATAAAAAAAAATTATCAAACTTTCTGCTACTTGATTTCACAGTTGCTTATTCTCATAGCATAACAGAAGCAGCTCTTTTTCAAAGCACATCAATATCAAACCAAATGTGGAAAAGAAGAGATTAATGCTTACCTTGGTGTTTAATGGAACCATGATAAACAAAATGATAAACACAGAGATGAAGTAAATGAAGTAAGAAAACAAGGCTTTTTATCGAGAGTGTACACACACACACATATATATGGATGTGATATCCACACATCTTTTTTTACTTTTCCCACACCCTTTTGGTTTTCTGCTGTCGGATCAGATGAATTGAAGAATATTAACGGACAGAAATTAACAAGGGTGTGTGAGAAGTAAAAAGAAGTGTGTGGATAGCATATTCCTATATATATATATATATGTGTGTGTGTGTGTGTAAATATACATATATATGTATGGTTGTTGGATAATTGGTGAGTGGTAAGGATGGGGTAAGTATCTGATTCTATTCAAACATTATGCATGAACTGAGAATCATGCTTTTGCTTTATACATTTGAGGACAGTTGTACATGGGTGCCAGTGTTTTTAGGTCTAGGGTACATGATGATTTCTGTTGATTGGAATTGGGATTAATGTTTCTGTGAAGTATAGGTATGTTAGTTGGCCGAATTCGCTTTTAGTGTTCTTATGCGCACTTCAGGCTTTTCTAACAAGACGTGATTTGATGTATGTGCTTGGGGTTTTTGCATCCGATCCTGAACTTTGAATTGCTTGATTATGGCTTGTAAAATGCTTTTGTGTAATTGTGCATTACAGTCGGAGAAAATTCTGGTTGTTTCATATATGTGTTTGATGCCTTGAAAATTTTCTTTCCTTTTATTTTGAAGCCACCTATCTTACTTGATGGCATGCATAAAAGAGGTGCAACACGTGCTGTTAAGTTTCAATACAATATACCCGCAGAAAAAAGAAGTTTCAAGACAATGTGGGTGAATTTTATGGTAATTAATTACGGCTTAAAACAATCTGGCGTTCAACGAGACAGTGTTTTCAGGGAACGCTGTGCCTCGTCTATGGATGTTGATGTCTTCCACTATTTTTTCTGAGACTTTTTTGTTTTGTGTATGTGCATCATGTAAGATTACAAGCTGTTAGGTTGTCCTTAATGTTTTAGGATAACAGAATCGAGAGAAGTTCCAATTGGTTTTGGAAAAGAACTTAGTGTTGGAATGTTATAAAGTCTCATAATTCTTTATGGTTTATATAGTTTGAATCCTAGTCCAATTCTAATACAGAATGGACAGAGGAGTACTATATATATGGTTCAAACCACTGCTCTTGTGATTCACCAGCTTGTTTTGTTATAAGACCTATTGATTAGAAGAGCTATTATCATCGCAAAAGAGGAGAAGGTTTTGAGCACAGAGGTTGCAATGGCTTCTTCATCAGGATCGAATAATGCAGGCATGTTTTAAAGGCTTTGGTTCTTAAGTGTGTTCAACGAAAGGTTTACATTAGTTGTGATTCAATTGGATGAATTCTTGTTCCTTGGAGAAGATGTTACAAACTTGTTCTTACATGTGGTATCAGAGTCATTACTTGTGATTCAGTTTTCATCATGTTCTTCGAAGAGGGTTCTCCCTCATCATCTTCGATAGACCTATTTCTTTTTTGTTGCTTGTCTAAAAAATGATTTTGAGTCAAGATAGATGCTGAATTTGCCAAATCTCAAAAGTTAACTACGAAGAGGTATGTATTTTTGAAATTCAAATTCTTTCAAATTATACAGAATGTTTAGAGTGGGTTTATATGAATTTAATGTTGGAAATTGATTCCTTAAATCATGATAAAGGATTAGAACATTAACAAGATTCATACTCATTTAGAATAATTTAAAGTGCACATATTGTCTTTATAAGATGCTTCCGCTAACATATCAGATCGTCTTTATTTAGAATAATTTAAAATGCACAAATTGTCTTTATAAGATGCTTCCGCTAACATATCAGATTGTCTCTCTATATATATATATATATATATATATGGAGCGGAATTAGTGATTATGATGATGAAGAGGGCAATGATGATGCAAATCATGTGAATTGGAGATTTAATGTGGTGGATAGCCAAGATTGAATAAACCATGAAACCAACTATTTTAAATGAATAAGAAAAACCGGATGAAGGAGTTATCTGTGTTTACCTTGAATTTGAGATATTCGATGAATTGACTGTGAGTAAGAATTATATGTCATTCAAAATTAGTAGTTATGAAAATATTCATAATGAAAATAATGAATTCAAAATAATGGTGCAATTATAATTTGAAAATAAATTTTATTGCAAAACTTACACTGGAACTTACAATTAATTTAATGACGATTGAGTCAGCAAATAAGAAATTGACTGGTGAAAAGGATATTGGTGCACGCAGGCATCCTTGACATTTGAGAATTTAAATTGTTTACAATTTGGTTTTCTTTGAATACAGTGTGAACCCAAAGAAATTTTGACTAAGAAAAGATGTAGAAATTAACTTGATGTCTCCTTCATCTGAGTCCCTTTCATATAGACTTGGAAAATAGACCTGGATGATTGATTGCTTTATTGTTGGATGATAATTTGCTTTTACTGTGGATGAATAGTGAACTTGTTGGAATAATTGTTACTTTACTGTGGAATGTGCAGATGACTGAATGATTTCATGCTTTGTCAGAATTATTGATGCGAATATTGTCTGAACGCTTCACATGATGACTTAGAAAGATGACTAAATTTTCACATGACAATAGTGTTCACATGATGACATGACATGATGGCTGAATTTTCACATGGTAATTAATTGTATTCACATGGCCTTATGCAAAATGGTCTTGTGAATCCTTGTTGTCGACCCACTTGGCAGACTGTGTTTTTTGACTTATCAAATTGGCTGGTTGATGTGAGGATGCATCTAAAGATTCGGAGTCTAAAGTGTATTCTTCTTCAGTGTGGAGTATCGCTGCTTCTACAAATAATTGTTGTGCTAAATCTTGGAACTAAGTGGCTTTATTTGTCTTTGAGCCTGATGATTTGGGAGACTTGATTGTTTCTTTAAGGGATGAGGATGGACCAATGTCCAATAATGATTAAGCTGGAATAGCTGGCATTACTGGCTGTGTTGGGATGACTGGAGGAGGAGTAATGGGAAATTTAAAGAAAACCAAATTGATGATCATTTGATAGTTGAATTTATCCCACCATTTGATTGATCTGACTCTGTTGACTTCACCAGTGTCAACTTCATAATTCCACTTCAAGATCCACGAGACTTTGTATTTGGCCATGAATTATGGGAGAAGTGTAATTCTGTAATTGAATATGCTTCTGTCAAATTTTTGTTGAAAACTGGCTGAGAGAACCTGCATAAGCTTGTCTAGACTGACTGTTGGCCCATGAATTAACCACCATTTTGGGAACCATGCTGGAACATTTAACTAGAAACTTTTGGCAAAATTGATGAACCATGAATGACTAAAATCTTCTGTTCGATGGAGAAAGATGTTACTCCAAGCATCGATGTAATCAAAATAATTATAATGGTATTTGGTAATTGGGCATAGTGAGTGTGAAGAGGTTTGCTTTTGTAAAGGGGGATTCCCTAATCTGCTTCAGTTAAGAACCAACCAATGTAAAGAGAATGGTAAATAATTTTGTTTTCATGAGTTTTCCTGTAAAATGGTTTGATAGAGATGAACTCTGTTTCGTTGAGAATGGCTTGATAATATTTTCAGTGTTTTGTGTGGTGCTATAGGGTGACATACGGTGATGTTTTAGTATAACTGACTGGTTGGGATAATGATGATTGGTATGTAAGGGTTGAATAAGGATCATATTGACTGACTAATGCCGTTTGGTAATTGGGACATGGTGACTGGTAATTTGGCCTAAGGTTTCCTATTGTGGAATATAAGGGAGTGAAACGGTTGGTAATGATTAAGGCCGATGAAGAATCTGGGCTTGATTCTTGTTTTACTGGAGGTGGTGGTAAAGTGGCTGAAAGCCTCCTCTGATTAGGTTTTCTTGCTGTCATTCTTTCCCTGCAGAAATTCTCTGGTTAGAAAATCAGGGATGCAATTTTGACTACCTTTGATGTATTTGATTTTAAAAAAAAAACTTAATATAGCTTGCCATCATGCAAAAATCTGTTTTGATGCAATGTTTTGAACATCTTTTTGTAAAACATATTTTGCAGATTTGTAGTCAACTCTGACTAAAAACTTTTGATTTACTAAATCATCTTGAAATTTACTAATACATAATACTATCGATAATATTTCTTTCTTAATAGTACTATAATTACTTTGTGCTGGATTCCATACACCTAAATGGAAACGAACAATTTGTTCGGAGATCCAGAAGAAATTGACTGTTTGAGAATGACCCCGTAACCAATTTTAGAGGCATCAGTTTCAACGATCTTGAATGTATTTGGAGGGAGTTGGAGTGCCAAGACAGGGCAACGTCTTAACATGTGACTTGATCTGTTTGACTATGAAAGTATGAGTATTAGACCATGATGAAGGATTTTCTTTTAGACGATCAAACAAAGGCTTGCAGTGTTGCCTAAGATGTGGATAGAATTCTGCAACATAATTTAAAGATCCTAGAAATCTTTGTAATTGAGTTTTGTCAATAATTTCATATGAGAATTTATATTCAAAGTGAATTACTCTATCCATTGGCTAAATGGTTGGCTGGTGGATATTGTATCCTGAAAACCTAATTTTGGTATGGAATAACTTAATTTTGGTTGCTAAGACAACTAATCCATTTGACTTAATTATTCTAGCAAACATATTTAAGTGTTTCTAATGCTCATCTATCAATTTGGAATAAATGAGAACATTGTCAATATAAACAATTGAGAAATGACTGTATTGATTAGATATTTCATTCATGATGTTCTGAAATTTGTTGGGTACGTTTTTAAGACCAAAGTGCATTACATTAC